TCTGCAACTCTGGTACACTCTCTGGACCACCGTCTCTGATCCATTCTGTACTTGGCAAGTAACTGTTTTAGTTACTGTGAACTGACACCAATTCCTACAAGAGAAGAAACATTAAAACAAATCAATTAGTGCATCAAGCAAAACAAAACTACACTGAATTAGATTTTTTGAGCTTTTTTCACTCAATTTGGAGTTTCTAAATTTCTGCTGCAACCTCTAAAAATCCATGCAAACTTTAAAGTAGAATCAAGGATAAAACTTTTTTTTTTTTTTTTAATATAGAGTAAGGGAGGGTCATAGCCTCTGCCAGTTTTTTTTACCTTCACTTTTGACGATAATGGAAAACAGGACAAAAAGAGAGGGTGACTCTCCCTAACAGGGGCATAGACAGCAATAAAAAACTTCACAGGAGTTCTAATCCCTCCTCACTCTATCCAAAACTGAAAAAAAAAAAGTTTGCCATCAGTTACATTTTGAAGCTGTACCCTTGGAGTGTTAAAAAAAACCCAAAACGTTTACAGTGGTGCACCCTTGCTTGTTATCGCTAGGGGTATCAGAAGAGGCTATATTACTTACCTTACTCCCTGATCTGACCAGCTTCAGTGTTGTCCTCTTCTCCCTTAATCTTTGTGCTCTGGGCTCTCTCTCAGCATCATCACATACAGGGCTATTTACCCTATGTAGGAAAATCTCATCGCTAGGTAACAATACCCTCTTGCAGGCTGGCAGTGTTCACTGACTGCTCCTGTCAGCCAGTCCTCCAGTGTAGAAACATAAAGCTGCACCTGCACTGCAGATCACAAATGCTCTTTATTGAGGTTGATTTACTAAAACTGGAGAATGCAAAATCTGGCACAGCTGTGCATAAAAACCAATCAGCCTCCAGTTTTTTCTGTCAAAGCTTAATTGAGCAAGCTGACGTTAGAAGCTGATTGGCTATCATACACAGCTGCACCAGATTTTGCACTATCCAGTTTTCGTAAACCAACCCTATTGTGTCACAGATAAAAGTTACAGATTAGATCCCAATGTTTACGCATTTCAGCCCTGTATGGATCTATGCTAGCTATGACTAAGGCTCATATTGAGCTGTAATGTGTACGTTTGGGGATAATTTGGTAACTTTGGGATTTTGTAACTTTTATCTGTGACACAATAAGGAGCATTTGCGATCTGCAGTGCGGGTGCCATTTGATGTTTCTACGTTGGATAGCTATTAACCCTGCATTGTAAGTGAAGGAGGTAAGAATGCGATCACGGCTGAAAAACCATTAGAGGGGTGGCAGTTATAGACTGGTCACATCGATGATGAGAGCCTGCTGGTAAGTTAAGTCCTTATTCCTGTACCCCTACATTTAATGACCAATTATTCCTTGCAGTGTGGGGGCCCCTTCACCAGCAGGATATTTTTTTCCAGTCCAGAATTCAGCTTTAACCTGCCCAAGCTGTGAAATCTCACCAAAGCGTAATCTAAGTAAAATCCTGTTTTCTTCATTTACGTGAATGGCTAAATTCCCAAACTATGTCCCACTGGAGAGACGAAATCTCATCAAAGTGAGGAAATGGTCCTCTTAGACAGTTGTCACCAGAGCAGTTGTCCCTTTTGTAAGATATCCCCTTTACACCTGTTCTATTGACAATTCCAGATTTTGGATTTTTTCTCACTTTGTCTCTCTCAGTTGCAGTAACAGGTACAAGTTGGACAAATAGAGTAAATCTCCCTAATAGGAACAGGCAGTATTAAAAACCCAACAGGGATTCTAACCATTACCAGCATGTCCAACACTAAAAAAAAGTTTTGGTATTGAAAACATTTTAACACTAGCTACCAACAAAGCCAATGCAATGTAATACGGGAGTCTATCCAAACAATCTATTTAATGTATATCTAGTAAGGTAGATTCTATTGGTAAATCTAAATGAGCTTAGACAATAAGATGGTACAGTGTGTAGACAGTTATAATCCTTCTGCTGGACTTCCTAAAATATAAAGAACCAGAAATTAAAAAGTGAATATTAATCCTGTTTGCAATGACTTTGGTAGATGAACAGGTACCAATATCTTCCTACAAGTGTTATGTGAAACTTCAAAAGACAAAGATTGATTAAAACTTTTTGATGAATTCATCACAAATCTCAGTTTTTAAAGCCTTGTCTGTTGGGTTACATTCACACTTATGTGCATATATTGTCATGTTATAGTGTATGTTAAAGCATAGTAAGTCGACTGTATATGGCCAATGCAATGACAAACCAAGACACATTCATGAACAAAACAAATACACCTGAACCTCAGTTGGAAAAAAATAGGGCAAGCATGTATTTTTGGTCCATGTGCCTGTACTGAAGTCTTATTAAAAATTATTGGGCACGCTCTACATAACAGGCATCAACATACCAATATACACTTGTGGATGAACTTTTTACATGTGACAATTTGAGCTTAATACAGATGGAGGAAGTGCCAGCAATCAGTGTTTTCCCAGGAAAAAGGAATCCCCAGGCACAAGACACATACATAAACAAAAGAAATACACCTGAATCTTAGCTAAATAAAACAAAAAAACAAATAAAAAAAGGCAGGTGTGTATTTTTGGTCTGTGGGCATGCATTAAAAACCTATTAAACTTATGGGCATGCTCTACATTACATGTGTCAACATGCCATGCTTGTGGATGAGCCCCTAAAGTGTGTAAATGTGTACTCAACACAGATATGGGCAAGCATTAGCATACATTGTGTACATAGGACTAAAAAAGATCTTCAGGCACAAGGAAACCCTTTTGCATATTTGGATATCTACCATTTTTTTTTAATATAGTCCAACTGGGATGTTCATTTTGGTTACAGGTTTACCATAAAATAGTGCTAATACCATCTATAGCAAGGATCTGTAGCCATTTGCTACATTGTAAACTACACTACTTTGAAAAATAAGAATCACATGGATTGCTGAAGAAATAATGTTTGATATTGGGTGACCTCTGCTTGACTTTTTTGCTCATGTGATGTGTATGATTCTGTAGAGGTTCAGACAGACCGCTACAGTACTAAGCATGAGGTTAGAGGCCGTAGGTAGTCATACTAAAGGCAGCTGAAAGCCACATGTGGATCACTAGTTGGGGCTACCCATTTGTTTCTTATATACATGGGGGGTATTATAAGGTTTCACTGTAGTCTAGGATACAGGATAAATTTACATTGAAATACCATAAGACACATCTTTAACAAACACATTCTACCTTGTTTCCACACTAGTGTCTCTGTAATGAGTACTAGCAGTAATGAAAGGTGATAACAGTATACATCGTGGAATCTCCCACAGACAGAATGACTCATACTCTACATGTAAAATACATGAATGAATGTGATGATCGATATACTGTGAAATGTTCAGAATGTGCAGTGGAACTGAAGCCATCTGTTAAGAAAACTGGAAAAGCTCAAAGAGATAAAAAGATTAGGCAACATTTGTGAGGAAACATATGCATAGTGCTATGATACCAGAAGAGCTGCCCTGCAGTGTTCAGTTCAGTTGATTTTGCCCTTGATCGATACTCAGTATAATATGCCTGCTTTTTGCAGAAAGCCATTTAGAAAAAAGGTTTTCTGCATCAATATTGTTTTATATTGAGATATGGATCTACCGTACATGCACTGGTTTTACAAATGCCTCTTACCAGTACCATTGTCAATGTCTGGAGTTAGTCTCGGAGGCCACTAGCTATAGCACTGGAGCAGCACTCACAGACAAGCAGGACAGGTATACAAGCATGTCACCCTGGCGAATGACATGGGCTCACCTGATGTGCGGGGTCTATATACTAATCGGTATTCAACAGAGCTCCAGGCGGTGGGTTTGGCTGCATTTTTGTACCAGGTCGCAGTCCTCAGGATCACCCCATCAGGGGGTGAGCAAGCTGGGCCAGTAGCAGATAAGCAGGAAGGGATCAGGCAGAAACATAGTCAGTAAACAAGCCAAAGGTCGGTAGAGACAAGAGCAAGATAAATGTTGTATAGAGCACAATAATCTGCCAAACAGGAACAGCAGAAACATGGTTTAAATCAGGAAGTTCATGGGAGGAGCAGAGAGTTCAAGGTTTAAGACAAACAAGGTTCAAGGCAGGATCATTCAAGGAATTGACTAGGGAGCTATGCAGTATTCCAGGTGGCTCAGCAAGAAGAGTCATTGCCAGACATAGCAAATAGAGGTCCTGGTTTCAAGTCCAGGCTCTGATAGCCATTCTACTACGTGCATGGATGCTGCATCTGTGATTTTATGTGCAATTATGAATAGCAATGAAAAATTCAGAGAACCCAAAACTGATATTTATGTTTATTATTGATGTTAGAGAGTTAAACCACTGACAATTTCTTATATCTCTGAAAGCCCATTGGACATCACAGTATTACTCCATGCCACCACAGTGTAGACAATGAGGGGGATTTACTAAATCTGGTGCAACTGTGCATAGTAACCAATCAGCTTCGAGCTACAGCTTGTTCAGTTATGCTTTGACAATAAAACCTGGAAGATGATTGGTTTCTATGCAGAGCTGCACCAGATTTTTCACCATGCAGTTTTAGTAAATGATCCCTAATGTGATGTCCAGTGGATTATTCTCTGCATAACACTGCAAAGAGAGCTTCTTGATTGGAGGAGAGATCAGTCGCATGACTGACAGATCATGTTATCAGGTTCTCTTTCTTCTATCTTTTTTCCCTTTATTTATTTGAATTGCGCTCCATTGACTTCAGAGTCCCATCACTATATGGCACTCTTTCTATTGTAAAGCAGCAATATGGCCACAGTATGGACAACTAGCTGCTTTATAAATAAACCCATTAACCACTTTCCCACTGCCCTATAGTAGAACTACTGCTACAGGGTGGAATGGCTGCACAAAACCACGTATATATACGTGATTTGCATTTCCGGGTAGGGGCGCACGCTGCCCTACCCACTCCGCCATTGGCAGCTATGGATGTCAATCATCGGGCCCCACTGGCACCCGGCGATTGCTCTGTGGGACTGACAGGGGAGAGACGTGTGTGTAAACAACACAGGTCTCTCTCCTGCCAGCAAGGACATGCTGCTGTGTATTTCTCTGCACAGCAGAGAAATACATAGCAGCATGTCTCCCTAGTAAAAAACACACAGCACATCATGTAAAACAGCACAGAGCACACAGTAAACCCTCTGATCACCCCAGATGTTAACCCCTTCCTGCCCAGTGTCATTAGTACAGTGTCAGTGCTTTTTATTAGCACTGCTCACTGTATTAGTGACATTGGGATACCAGTTGCAATTAGTCAGTTCCTACCCAGTGTCAGAATGCCCGCCGCAGTCCTGCTATAAGCCGCTGACTGCCGCCCTTACTAGTATAAAAAAAAAAAAAAATTCCAGTATATATATATATCGCCATTTGTAGATGCTAAAACGTTCACATAAACCAACTAATTTACACGTATTAGGATTTTTTTTTAGCGAAGACATGTAGCAGAATACATTTTGGCCTACATTTATAAAGAAATTAGATTTTTTTTATTTTTTTTTACTGGACATTTTTTATAGCAAAAAGTAAAAAATATTGTGGGTTTTTTTTTCAAAATTGTCAGTCTTTTTTTGTTAATAGTGCAAAAAATAAAAACACAAAGGTGATCAAATACCACTGAAAGAAAGCTCTATTTGTGGGAAAAAAAGGACATCATTTTCATTTATTTACAGCATTGCATGACCGCGCAATTGTCAATTAAAGTAACGCAGCGCTGTATCACAAAAAATGGCCTGGTCAGGAAGGGGGGTAAATGCTCTGTAGGGCAAGTAAGTAAAGATTATATTGGTGAGATCACTATGCTTTTGTAGCACCCCCCCCCTAGATAGGTATAATTTATTTGTATTTACTGGCCACATTGGCCCTGTACATTTGGTATTTCCCTTTTCCCCCTCCAACTTTGTGGGATACTGCACTTAGGCTTTTGGTAAAAAGTTTTTTATAGGGTCGGATGTCCAGGCCAAAGAGGACATGGCCTATTTTTGGCAGGGGGATGAATGTAGCACCCTCCTAGATAGGTGCTAGGATAAGTAGATTATAGTTGGTTCCTCTGCTTAACAGGAGAACTGCTAGGAAAATCTACTTAGGCTTTCTGCTTAACAGAGAGCTGCAATTGTTAGTAGTGCTTACTCATTGTGTTCAAGTACTGCTAGCTCTGCCCCTGACTTCCTCTGTTTTTAAGAAACCTAGGAAGGTTCTGGATGTGTAGGTGGAACTCATGCAGGACACTGTATGAATATTAATGCCACTCCAGCCAATCCCAGGGAGTGCAGTCCTGAGGAATGCTGGGAGAGAGTGTTTATTCTTTTGGGCATACTAAGTCCTGGGTCTTTCCTGGAGAGGATTGCACCAGCTTGGGGAAAGGCACCTGCTGCTATCAGTCTCAGGTGTGTGACTTGAGGGCCCGAAGTAGGAAAGAGAGTGACCCTGGTTCTTCAGTAAGCTGACTGAGGGGAGCTGTCTGACAAAGATCTGTCTGGTATCACTGGAGGGCATCGCTTAAAATATTGGAAGGAGGCTACCATTCTGTCCATGGGCCTTGTGAGTACAGACACTATAGGATCTTGGGGACTTGTGTGCTTTGCTAACCCTCTCTGGTGTTTTAAAGTGTGAGTCTGAAACAATGAGACATTGGCTGGTGTCCTGAAGAACACTGCTCACTTAATCTCTTCCTAACACTGGGACTTTGCTCAAGGCTGCTACTTAAGGAAGTTCTGTCTTCAACTGTAATTAGTTCTATTCCTGGAGTATCCTACTACAGCAGTGTTTCTCAACTCCAGTCCTCATGGACCCCCAACAGGTCATGTTTTCAGGATTTCCATTATTTTGCACAGGTGATTTGATCAGTTTCACTGCCTTAGTAATTACCACAGCTGTTTCATCTGAGGGAAATCCTGAAAACATGACCTGTTGGGGGTCCATGAGGACTGGAGTTGAGAAACACTGTACTACAGGGTTTGAAAAGGCCACTCGCCTGCTCACCAAATGCAAGGAGAAATTCTCTAGCGGCGAGCACAGATGATGGAGCGGCTGCGCTCCAAGCCTCATTGTGAAGCCGAGTTCCGGTGTCCGAGTTCCGGCTTCTTTGGCACCGCCGCTGAGGGGACAGGTGCAGGAGAGGTCCGCTCTCTCCTCCACTGATGGAAGACACCCTCTCCACCACCGCGGGGGACTCAAGGAATAAGTACTGTATACACGTCATATCACTATAATGCAGTACAGGGGAGCTGGGATGTACATTATTGTATACAGTTTTATATTTTGGACTCTTTATTCTAAAGAAAAATGTAATTTCATAAGCTTTAAGGGGGCATGGTTGGGGGCAGGGCTGGGCATGGTTGGGGGCAGGACTGGGGCGGGTTGGGTTGGAGGCAGACCTGGGCAAGGTTGGGTGGGGCAACTGGACAGTAAGGTTTGTGCCTGGCTGGTAGGTCTAGACTCGAAATTTTAAGCCCTGTCCTACTATATTCTCCATCCCTATCCAAGTTCTCCAATAATAAAACAACAAAAACAACAACCCCTAGACTGATCATTTGAGACAATGAGCGAAAGTGTGTGTGTACCTGGCTGTGACACTACCTTGCGCCTGGCTGAGGGGTGAAATTAGGGAAGACTTGGACAATATTACAGCGGCTCCTAATGGGGTAAGCGCTACACTTGCACTCCTGGGTCTGCACACGTGATGTGCCTGACTATTATATTTTGGGGTGTATCCAAGGCATAGAAAAAGCCAGATATCGACTCAGCCCACCAGTCTCCACCTTGCCCAGACAAGGTAAACAAAATCTGGCAGATCACTGCCCAACCAAACCATCAAATGCATACTGATATAATTTACCTATTATGCTAATATTAAAAACTGAATTTATTGTGAGCTTATACTTCCTAAACATCTGCAGCTCTTAGGATATCCCCATTCTAACAAATATTTCTTATTATGTGCGCACTAATCAGATAAGGCATACATACAGTACAGTATCATATTCCATGTATAAAAAGACAGTAACATAAGAATAAGATTGACAATCTTACTAGATTATTAAATGATTTGTGTACACAAAGAGAGGACAACAGATACTGTACTTACAGCAAGGTGTCAGTTACAAAAACTCTGGAGCATGGGTGTAATTACACTGGCCACTTCCTTCCAGTGAAATGTAATCAGTTGAGCTATGCACAGCTGCAGTTAGTTTACTGAACAATCTGCTTTATAGAATGCTTATGGGAAAAACGTATACTAGAAACTGTGTCAGGTTTTACTTCTGTACGGCCTCTCAAAAAGAGGCAATTGACAGACAATGGAGGGTACAGACCTTTCAGATGTCTGCTGAGCACCCAAGGGTCAGATTATCCTCTGACCATTGCTTGGCTTTGCTTGGCTATATTTGATTACACAGGAAACCAAAAAGACAGAACAACAAAGATGCCAAAGAAGAAAATAAAGGATAATGATAAAGTCTAGCAAGCCAGAAAAGCATTTTCCCTGCAATGCAGAACAGATAATGTGTTACGTACATCGTAGGAGATGAGCTTGTCTTGCTTGCATTTGCTTGTAAGTGCAATTTTTTTTAACTGTGAATTTCAGCGAATACTGAAAGCTCAAAGCTGCTACATGTTCTTTGTGTTTAATTTTGCAGTTAATGAATTCTTTCCCTGAGCACTGGGAATAGCTGCAGGGCATTTCAGCTTACACTTGGAATACATGCCTGGAGTTGGTTTCATTAAGCTTCATTAAGCTTCTTTATGAGCATTTACGGATTTTTTTTTAACTCTTACTATGAATGATATTGAATAACTTTTCTGTGTGCCATATAGGTGACTTTCAGGCCACAATTGTAAAATTAGCAATTGAACTGCATATTACATTATTTGTCAGACCCTATGCTGGTCAGGAGGGGAGGAGCCGAAGCATGGCCTGGTGAGTTGCCGCAAGTTGCTTAAAAACATTGCAAAATATTCTTAAGAACTGTTATTTTTATGCAACATACCAATATATAGAGTGATTACTGTTTGGAAAGACAGTACCTCTGGGGGGGGTCCAGTACAGGACCTCTGGGGGGTCCAGAGGTCTTGGGGTTCAGAGGGGCCATTCAACTTTTTGTATTGAATATTATTAAGCACTTTCCACTTCAAAGAATAAAGAGACTGTCTGTGATTAATAGTGAAGGGCAAAGAGGACTGTCTTGGGTGCAATGTTCCTGATATTTAGATCAAGAGGAAAACAAACTGCAAAGTCCTAGAAAAAAATGAGAAGTAGACCGACTAAAGGGGGGGGGGGATCTAAAACCCCCCAATCAAGAGCAAACACTAGCACTATAAGAAAGTATTTGCCTTCTCAGGAAAAAAGCCCGGAGTCGCAAACCTGAGAGAATTACTATGAAAGGCCAATAAAATCTAGTGGAGATCAATATAGATTGTCTTTTGGAATTCTGGAAGAGAACCAAGATAAAGAAAGATCAAGTATGGAAAATGCAGGAGGACAAAGAAACATGGAACAGCAAGGGCTCACGTCACAATTACTTTAAAAAATTAACTGGCAGAAATGTTAGCAAAACTAGAAATGGCCATTAAAAATCCCGGGAAGAGAGGGTAGAGATAATGGTCTGAGATCCTTGATTCTTGTACAAAGTTAAGAGAGAAAAAGTACCAGCAATACTTCTATCGATTGATGCCGAAAGGCTTTAGAAAGTGTTAATTGGGGATTTATGTTTGATACTCTAGAAGCACTAGGAATAGGGCCTAAAATGTTAAATTGGATAAAAGGATTGTATAATGGCCCGTCAGCGGTGGTTAAGGTTAACAGATCTCTTTCTCAATTTTTTAAAATGTACAATGGTACAAGACAAGGATGTCCCCACTCTCCCTTATTGTTTGTATTGTTTCTGGAACCTGTCCTGGAGAGGGTAAGGAAGTGTGTAGATATAGCGGGAATAAAATTAGGAGAAGTGGAGCACAAGGTTGCCACATATGCAGATATGTTGATTTATATTGTTAACCCTAGAATAACGTTGCCTAATCTAATGAGAGTATTAGAACAGTATGGTGAGCTATCATACCTGAAAATAAACCCAGTAAAATCAGAAATTTTTATTTTTAACCTCTCAAGGTCAGAGAAGATGGGCTTAGAAAAAAAGTTCCCATTTACCTGGAGGGAAAAAAGAAATAGGTTACCTTGGATTAAAAATAACCCCCTCATTAAAAAATTATCAGGCAAACTATATCCCCCTAATAAATGAAATTCAGGAAGAGCTGAGAACTCTTAAAAGGTGGAGCCTCCTGGATAGGATGTATAAACCTGGTTA